GTTCCTTTCTTTTTTTTTTTTTTTTTTTATTTCTAACAGATTTCTTTTTAAAGGGATGGCCTAAGGGAGAAAAAAAATGTGGTAGAGAAATATGGACTAGAAAATAAAACAAATATATGGTATTTTACTAATTATTTTATAACCACAAAGGTATGATGCCCTGTACAAAACACAACAGATTCAAACGAGGTATTCCCTTAGCAAGGCTGAAGATTCAGTCTCTGGTATTTGGATCTAGAATGCAGTCCTTGTGTTTGATGGCTCACTGGGTGTTTGGCACCACCGTGCTTCTAATCGGTTTTGAACAGAAGAATGGCCACCTGACCCAGGTAGAAGGAGATGAAGTGCTTGGTTTCATGTGTCATGTAACTACCAAAGTTCTGCCCCACGATGCAGTGCCAGGTGGGGTTAGACTTCCTTGTCAGACTCCTTCTTGATCTCCAGTGCTTGGGTAGTGCCCTCTACCAAGTCCTGTTTCATCTCTTCCGACTTGTCTGCATTTTTGATCACCGCCTTCTGGTACCACATGCTTGCTGTGGAGCAGGGCCAGCCGGCTGCTTCGAGCTCCTAGGGAAGGTGCTGGCGCCGCTCAAGCCGCTGAGTGGCCGGTCACTACTGAAGCTGTGGTGCACCTCCAGTTCTTCTCTTCATTTTACTGGACTCTTCCGGTTTTACCATTTCTAAAATGTCATCCTAATGTACCCTTGTAGTCTCACTTCTCTGACCAAGCATAGCAGATTAGAGATTCATCTATTTGGTGTTTGTTGGCTCAACTTTTATTTCTCTGGTTGCTCACCAAATGTTAGAGAAGTACAAAATACAGTTTTGTAGTAAAGAAAAGGTATAGATTTATGGCTTCTAATTCAAGGGGTAGGAAGCAAAAAGGAAAGCTGACGTGCTGAAAATGGAAGATGCCGAAGTGCAGTTCAGAGCTCAGTGCTGGGACCTCCTAATCGGGGGAGGGAATCATGGCACATGGGTCCCTCTTTGCTGCTTCTGAGGAGAGACAGAACTTCAAGAGATGCAGCAATTCTTAAACTTAATCCAAATATCTCTTAGCTGGGCCTGGGCCTTGGCCTTGTAACTGTCCTTGGACTCATCTCTGTCACAGTCTTCATTCTATATTCCCACATATTTCTTCTTTTTCTGTCTTTTTTTCTGACTGTGTTTATGAATGAAACTGGCTTGTTTTTGTTTTTTTTTTCTTTCTTTCTTTTTTTATACTTAAATTTGCCAGATTATGGTCTCCAGATGATGCTGACTTCTGTGAATGAGATAGAAAGTATTTTGTGTTTTGTTCTGTTGATATTGATCTCTGGGGTAAATGTGTAAATGATTTGAATTAATTATTCATTGCACTTTTGGAATCATTTCTTATTAAAGTTATCTAGACATTGTGTTCTCTTTGGGAGGTTTTTGTTTTTTTTTTTTTTTTTTTTTTTTTGGCCTACCAATTCAGTTTCTTTGAATGTTGTAAGATTCTTATATTTTCTATTTCTTCTTGAGTTAGCCTTGATAAATTCTGTTTTCTGGGGAGTTATCCATGTCTGTGTTTCAGTTTTATTAGCTGAAGTGGTTTATGAAGTTCTGTTATTATCTGTATACATATGGAGGTCACATGTGGAGGTCAGAGGACAGACTCTAGTCTTTACCTACAGCTAGTCTTTACCTCCAGCTGTGTTTGAGAAAGGATCTCTTGTTCAGTGCTAGTCATGCCATGATAGCTGGCCTACAAGCGTCTGAGAGCTCTCCTGTCAAAATTACAGGTATCTGCTACTATGTCTGATTTTTAGGTAGCTTCTGTGTAGCCAAACTCGGGTCTTTAGGCACCTCCCTGGTGCTGCAGCAGTTGTAATATGCCTTTTCCGCTGTCCTTAACTTCTTTACTTGATTCCCTTTATTCTCTTATTTTATCTTGCCAGAAACTCGTAAGTTAGGATTCCTTTGAAACAGTCAAGGTTGTATTTTTCTGCTGTGTGTTGTTTTCCCAGTTTCATCAAGTATTGGTCTTACTTTTATTACTGTCTTCTATTTTCTTCAGATTAATTTGTTTCTTGGTGCTTTGATATTTTTCTGTAGAATTTGACAGATAAAACTTCCCTATCCTTGAAAGTCTCCCCTTAGCTCTTTGAGACACTGGGATCAAGGGTTTTCTTACCCTCTTGCTCTTTAATTGCCTGTTTGTCTTCAATCTGTTTTTCCTCTGTATACATTATTAAATAGTTTTGGATACGAGATTCCAAAGATTCAGCTTGGTAATGCTATTCTACAGAACCTTTGGTTCTGGCCTGTCATTTCTTGATGTACTCTAGATGACTTTGGTGTATTTTTAGGGTCTTTAGACCTCTATGTGTCTAATATTAATCATCTTACATGATTCACTGACCAAGAGTCCAATGCATAAACTCCTGTTTCTTTTTTCCAGTGTTCAGTTCTTCCAAGCATGTAAACCCAAGTATTTCTTGATTTTGCCTCTGAACATCACTGTCTCTTCATAACAGCCCAGACCAAATTCAGTTGGGCTGTGTGTGTTGGACCACCTTTCTTTTTATCCTAGTTTAGCAAGAATAATTTCCCTGTAATATCTTTCTTCTGCTCTCATCTCACAATGTCACAAATATCTTATTAAAAGAAATTGCTTGTCTTTGCATCTTACATTTTTCTATATATCTGCATGGTTATCTAAGTATTCTTTGTACTTTGGAATACTGTCTTCTATTCTTGTGCCTGATAGTCAATTATAGGTACAAAAAAAACAAGACAAGTGAAGGCTCAGAAAAGCAAAGTTTATTATACTCACAGATGCTGGAGACAGGAGATATACATGACAGGTAGTTAGAAGTAAAAAAAAAAAAAAAAAAAAAAACATAAGGGAGAGAAAAATTTAGACCACCACCTTTGGATTTTCCATAGGAAATGCAAGGCAGGCCAGGAAAAAGAACCTAGAGTTGACTAGTTTGAATCATTTCAATGCTAAGTATTCACTAGGCCTAGGAGAGGCAGTCTCTCCTAGCCAGAAAGGTTTTTCAGGTGCCAGCATACCCTAATATTTTTATGGATTAAAATATTTACAGTACAATTATATACCTTCCTCCCACCCCCTCAAGAGTCAGAGCCATAGCAATTAAACAGTACTCAGTACTAATACTATTAACAGTAGTCTCCTGTACCCAGGACACTGGAAATCGTTCTCTTGTTATTTGGTGCTTTGAAATGTATAAGGGGCTTGCTATCACTTCAAATGGGAACCAAATATAGAATCAGGGTGTAGGGTTTGGATGGACTCTGTGAAAATTGGGTATGTAATGGTGAACATTGGCACTGTTTTAGAAATAGTAAAGCTAGTTGTGGTGGCACTCGTTTGTAATCCCAGCACTTTGCTAAGGTAGGAAAGTCATGAGTTTGAGACCAGACTGGGCTCTTTGTGAGGCCCTGTGGGAGGGGGGGAAGATACATATGGGAATCTGTACTTTTATATTGATCATTACAACTATTTTGTTTTATTTATATAAAGGGCGGTTTAACTATCAGACTACTCTCATTAAAGTGTTTGCGTCAGTAGTAAGTCCTTCTTGCTCCTCATAAAGTCACCAGTGATTTCTTCCATACAAGCGAACTACTCTAAACTCAGTGTATTGAGAGTAGAAGACAGCCTGAGACCCTCTCTTAGGATCGTCTCTACCCTTTGCAACAGTAAAAATGATCTCTTCCTAAAAGCCGTCATAAATATCATGCCAGTTTCAACCCTGGTTGCTCCAATCACTGTATTTCTGTATTCAGTAACTCTTACGATGCTCATTGTTTTATTTTTGTCTCCTTTTAAGTATTGTTGGTGTTACATACTTGTTCTACTTCTGAAGAGAAGTTATTTGTCTTAGTTACTTCTGTATTGTCATGCTAAGACACCAGGACCAAGGCAACTTACTGGAGAAAATTTATTGGGGACTTAGAGTTTCAGAGGATGAGTTGTGACCATCATGCCAGAACATGAGGTAGCAGGCAGGCACGATGCTGCTGCAGTACCTGAGAGCTCACATCTTAAAACGATAACCACAACCACAAGGCCGAGCAAGAGAGGCAGAAAGGGCTAACAGAGAGTGACATGGGATTTTGAGTGCTCAAAGCCCACCCCCGGTGACACACCTCCTCCAATAGGGTCACTCCTCCCAATCCTTCCCAAACAGTTGCACCAATTGGGAACCAAGTATTCAAATATATAAACCTGTGGGGGCCATACTCATTCAAACCACCACTATTTTATTTCCTCTTTTTAGTTACAATTTTTCTTTATTCTAGGGAATTTCATAGTTGTATATAATAAAATATCCTCATATCCATCCCCTATTTCCCTCCTTCACATCCCCTCATATTCCCTAATAGATCCCCCTTCTAACTTCTTTTGAGTGAGTGAGTGAGTGAGTGTGTGTGTGTGTGTGTGTGTGTGTGTGTGTGTATGTGCATGTGCGTGTACATGTGTGTTTTGTCTTAATAACTCACTGTCTAAATAGTGTTGCCCATATACATATGGGTTTGTGGCTGTCAGCTGGAGCACAGGAAACATAATAGTAGAACACCCTTAAAATAGATTGGGTTTCCCTCCTGCAGCAACTGTCAACTGCCAATGACTACTCATTAGGGGATGGAGCATGGATAGTTCTTCCCTATTATGCTACAATTTTGGTTGGCTTGATCTTGTGGAGGTCTTAAGCAGGTGCTGTGAGTTCATGAGTGCCATAGCCATTTCACATCCAGAAAACAGCATTTCACAACAATTCTCCCCACCTTTTGGCTCTTACATTCTTTTTGCCTCCTTTCCTATAGACTTTCTGGCTCTTCACCCATGATGTTCAATTTCCATTTTTCTGAATCTCTTCATCTGAAGATATTTAGAAAGTAATTATTCAAAACAAATTCCTAATGAATGCTGATAACTGAAGTTTAGTACTTTGCTTCATTTGAATTATTTATTTCACTTAGTAGTTACTGTGCTTGCTTTCCAGGCACACAGACCAATGGCCTGGACTTTCAGAAACAGCCCGTGCCTGTTGGAGGACCAATCTCAACAGCCCAGGCCCAGGCTTTCCTTGGACATCTTCACCAGGTAGACTGTTTTACCCAGCCAGAACTGAGAATGCTTTTACAGAGACGTAAAAAGCTAGGAAGTTATTTCAAATCATGTGTGATTCTCCTACTAAATGATTCATGTGGAATTAATAGATTTTGCATAGCTATTGACTTTACAACTGTGTGAAAAAAATAAATTTTTGTTGAATGGGACATAACATAACACCTAGGTCACTGTTCTGTATGAACAAGAGCTTGAATCTGCAATGGCTAAGTGATGCTAGTAAATACCAGAGTCTTTAAAACTAACAGTTGCCACTGGCCTGAAACCATTGTCATTTAGCGCCATGCTTGACTGTTAACTCTTCACTACAGATTTTAAGAAACAAGTTTTAACTTCCTACCCTGGTACTGCATGATTTTCCTCCAATCTAAAGCAGAACATGGGTTCTGTTCATTTAATTTACATTTCCACTGTTTTTATGAAAATGTTAGACTACCAAACTATTTTTTTTAAAGTCCTCTACTTGAAAATAGGTGAAATTCTAGGAAACTATCCTCAAGGTTGGTTTTTAAATGAAGCCAGGTTGGAATGGTTTATAATTCTCTGCATTTATGTCCAACTAGTGCCAGAATCCTTTTACAATAGCTTTTATAGTCTCTGTTTGTTTTTACTACCACCATTCCATTTTAATCTTTATTCTCTCTTAGTCTTTACTTTCAAGATGTTAGTTAGCCTTTGAGGGGCTGCAAGATAGTAGGAGACAATAAAGTCCATCCATATATATGGTCGGATATTTAATTTTAACATTTTTTTAAAAAAAATACAACTTTTTTAAGAGCATAAACTAAATACTCAGAAGCTTCCTCAGTTTGGGTTTGTCTGCTTTCTTGTCATAATTAGATTATTTTAGATTTAGGATACCTGCTCTTGCAGGAGACTGCAAATCTAATTACTGAAACCTCTAATCATGCCTTCTTATCATTTAATTTCCCTTTGAAGTTTTACACTTTGTAATTCTCAGCATTTGTGAAGAAATAGTTGGACACATGTAAATATCTTATTCTCATGTGGCCATTAGTTAGATGATCTGATGAGGACTCTCCTAAATCAGGTTGCTATCGCGATTGCCAAATGATATTTTTTTAATTGCATGTCTGTCCTTACTTTAATATAACCATGATTTGAACTTTAAAAATAAGAATATTGAATACTAAGACAGATAATTTATTTTAAATAGCATATATTAATATTCCTTAATTATTATTCTAATTATTGGACTTAATATCAATATAAATTAATACTTACTTAATTTTCATGTATGGCTTATAAGATAGATTCTCTTAACTAGTTCTTTTGTTCATAATGATAAAATTAATTCATGTAGATAGTTTGGCTTTATGTGTTCTTTAAAACAATATGGAAGATATGTTATGTTTTTAGACCCTAAACAACTTATGACTTCAAATAGAGTTTTAAATAAGGAATACCTACCCAGAGCAAGTGTGGCCTGCCTGATACTACTCATTTAGTGAAGGTGCTAATTCAGAATAATTTCTTCAGTTTTATAGTTGAGGTGTGGGAAACATGAGCTTGTATGTAAAGTTTTAACCTCCCAAAATCTTTGTATGTTCAATTCTAACTCAGTGGTATGCACTTACTATTTGAAGACTTTCTTGATGATACCCTCTACTGATGAATGACAATATATTAGGTTATTGCATCCATTGATTTCTTCCCTCCTAGGTCCAGCTTGCTGGGACAAGTTTACAGGCTGCTGCTCAGTCTTTAAATGTACAGGTAAACTGGGATGTGAATACATGGGTCATAGTTTCTAGTTTTCCATAATTTCCTCTAATGAGCATATAATTTAGAAGAGGAACCACTTCAAATTGGTAGTGCTTATTAATTTATTGTTTCTGCAGTTTTATTGCTATATCCACATGGTAATAATTGTTATTAATGACAGTCAGCTTAATATGAGAGCCAAAGGTGGACAAGTAAAGTCCACTTTCAGAGTTTAGATTCTAAAGTTCAGGAACACGTTCCAAACACAAGACAGAACACCTTAAGTATCTTTTTGCTTGCCAGACTATCATTTTTCATGAAACACTGAATAGAGCTTGGGTTTCGGAGTCGCACTGTACCAATCATAGCTATATGACCTTTTGGCAAGTCACAGCCTCCTATGGCTCAGTTTTGTAGTTAAAGACACTGATAACATCGTAAATGGTCTTCTCTACTCTAAACAGAAATAAGATTAAAGGGTGCTGGAGTCATCACCCAGTGGTTAAGAGCAGCATGTACTGCTATTACACAGGATTACCCTTTATTTAGTTTCTACATCAGGAGGGTCAGAACCACCTGGAACTACAACTCCAGGGTATCTGACACCCTCTTCTTGCCTTTGTGGGCACCTACACACATGTGCACATACACGGACACACATACACATAATTTAAAATAATTTTATAAAGATTTATAAAAATTGTCATAGAAAAAGAAAAGCAAAATTGTTGGTCAGATAGTCTTAATTCTGGCTTTCTTGCCTTCCTTCCTTCCTTCCTTCCTTCCTTCCTTCCTTCCTTCCTTCCTTCCTTCCTTCCTTCCTTCCTTCCTTCCTTCCTTCCTTCCTTTTTCTTTCTATAAACCATCAGACAAAAGATTCAAGGCTCAAGTCCTTTGCACAACTCCATGACAGTCAGCCCTTCATTGTAGTGTTTGGAAAACTAACAGTCAAGAAGGAAAAACAGTATTCCAGAAGATTGATTTCAGTGCAGCTAAAAATCTTGTGGAATATGGACCTAGTAACACATGGAAACAAGGAGAGAAAAGGAGATAATGTGACCTTCCTTTCTGAGAAGAGAGGAGGCAGAAAATTGCCTTGGTTGCCATGGTAAACTTAACATCCCTTAGAGAGATGTTGGCAAACAGGCTATATCTCCAATGCAGAATGTTTACAGTCCTGCACTGTAATTATCTTTCAGTGACTGACAGAATTAATCAGAGCTTTTATGTTAATTAGCTTTGCTGTAGTCCCCAAACAGGTGGTGGGAAATATGCAAATCTATGCGGAATTTTAATACTCTGCATAACCAGTGTTAATTACCATAAAAATTTCTCTCTCTGGCTCTGTAAAACCTTTATTTCTTGACTGTTATTTTCTTTCAAGCTCATCCATTACTTGGTGGAAGATGTTGCATTTAGAGGTCTGTGTGTCAAGTAATTGAACTGTAAGATAGTAGATGAAGAAGTCTGAGACTCGCCACAAGGTATATGTCACAGTGCTCATTGGAAGGGTCTACTAATAGAAATGAGTTGAAATGCATTCTTCCTCTTCCTCTTCCTCTTCTTCCTCTTCCTCTTCATTGCCTGAACTGGAGATTTGCTGTTGAAAAAGATTTTGCTGATTTGTGAAGGAGCAGTTTAGTTTTTTCTTTTAAAAATTTACAATTGCAGTGTTTTTGGAATTAGAATTCAAAAGTTTTCAGAGCGCTTCAGCAGAAAGAAAAGGCATGTAAGAAAGGAAGGACAGAAAACCCCAAAACCCAAAATTGAATAGCACATATTTCTTGAATTTACAGAGTTAAAAGTACATTTCTCCTAATCACCTATTTGAGATATTTTCTTTCATTTTTCTATCCAATCCCACTTCAGTCTAAATCTAGTGAAGAGTCCGGGGATTCGCAGCAGTCAAGCCAGCCTTCCCAGCAGCCTTCAGTGCAGTCAGCCATTCCCCAGACCCAGTTAATGCTGGCTGGGGGACAGATAACTGGGGTAAGTTTTCATTGAGAAAATCGTACTAAACTTTCTCTGTGTATGAACTACCAGTGGTTTGCATCTCATTAAAATTGTTCATTGCAGCGAGCACTAGACTGGCACTGTTGTATCTTTAAGAAACTTTGTGGATGCAGAAGCTCTGGTAGAGGAATAGCCTTTGTCATACTTCACAAGATTTCTTTTGTTACATCTGCAGATGTTCAGAATAAACTACTAACTTTTCAACCCACATTTAAAAATTGTGTTGCTAAGCTGGGCGTGGTGGTGCACACCTGTAATCCCAGCACTCTGGGAGGCAGAGGCAGGTGGATCTCTTGTGAGTTTGAGGCTAGCCTGGTCTACAAAGTGAGTCCAAGACAGCCAAGGCTGCACACAGAAACCCTGTCTTAGAAAAAATAAATAGCGTTGCCTCATTGTGCAAGGGAGTCATTGACATATGCATGGTAAAGTTGGAGTTGCATTATTGCAGGATAGTTAAAGAGTGGATCAACAGAGAAAAACATTTTTTTTGAAGTGACTTTGTAATATCCTAAAATAAAATATGTGGTCTCATATACTGTCTGTGTAATTACTAATTTCCAAAGACTAGTTGCTTTTTCTTCCTATACTTCCATTTTAATTCTTCTAAGTGCAGGTATTAATAATATCTTTTAAAAGTACCGTTGCAGTTTATGTAAAGAACAATGCTTGGCATGTAGCCTTCAGTAAATGTAACTCATTTTCACTGCTAACAAATTGTTCTCTGTGACTTAAGCTTTACCTGCTTAGCTACTTCAGTTCTAAGTTATTATTTGGATTTTTCAATGTTGAAAGCTTATGTGTTATCTTGTGAGGAGAATGAGTCAGGGGAATGATAAGAAAGAAATTAATCCACATCATATCAACCTTCAGAATTTTTTGTAATTAATTTCAGCTATCATGTTTGAGCAGAAGAAAGTTCTTTTAAGAACTGTTGCACCTTTATTTACAATATTCCATCACTAGGGGTGATTAATATGTGCTTGTATTATTAAAAATACAAATATACATACACAGATTTCGAAAAGTATTAAATTTTTGAATAGTTTTGCTTTGGTTCTTGTGTTTCTAATGCATAAATTGTTTGGTTAAATTAGACCCAGTTAGGTTAGAAGCAGGCTGTTCTATTAAATGACTGTTCACAAGATTAGATATTACATGATCCTTTCTTGATCAGAGCATGTCACCAAAAGAAAGGCTCAGCATATCTATTACTTTGATGTAAGTATATTTGAAACACTGTATTTTGAAAGTTTAAATGTGTTCCTGCTTTACTGCTTTACACTTCCTGCTTTACTGTCAGGGTCCAGATTTTGATGACTGATGTCTAAGATAGTGACATGCACTTGGGACTCCAGGGTCATGGACCTTTAAGATCCTATTAAGTCTGGGTATTCATATTCATTTGCATTTGAGAGAGTGGCTCTTACCACCAACTTGGAAAGAGGGTGTAAACCTGCAAACAGATGTTGGACAGAAGATTGGGTGAGGGAGGATCCTGGAGGAAGATTTGGAAAGGAAACAAGTGTGGATCATGTTTTTCAGTCACATCTTAAAACAATGAAATGGTGAAATATGGTGGGGTTTCTAGCTAATGGGAGGCAGCTGAGCCTTATCAACTCTCTTCCTGGTGATATCCAGCATTTATCTGACTAATCACTTGCTGTTGGGTATAAATTTCTTTGCATATCTTCTTGGCATTGGTTCTTTGTTTTCTTGTGTGCAAGTCATTAATTTCCTTGTCTGAATGATTTTTCAAGTCTGAAGTGGGAACTACTTTAAATTAAATGCTCTGCCAGTACAAGTAGTTTGGTCATTGGTGGGCAATTTAGCTGCATGGTAACCATGTGAAACTGAGTAGCAAGGACTTAATTATCACTTGAGTTACCTACCTGAAAGCAGTTTGCTTGCATTACAGTCCCCATTTCTTCAATCCTTCCCTTATTTATTATTTTAGCTCACTTTGACACCAGCCCAGCAACAGTTATTACTACAGCAGGCACAAGCCCAGGCCCAACTCCTGGCTGCTGCAGTACAGCAGCACTCTGCCAGCCAACAGCACAGTGCTGCTGGGGCCACCATCTCAGCTTCTGCTGCCGCGCCCATGACGCAGATCCCCCTGTCTCAGCCCATACAGATTGCACAGGTGAGTAAGGAGCAAGGTCACGGGGACAGCCACCAAGTATGAAAATGGAAATTTTTATTGAATATTGTTAGCCTACTAGTTGCTACTGTAGGTCTTTAAACACTGAAGGAATCCCTAGTTCAAGGAGGCATTATCCTTCTTCCCTCAATCAAGAACATTGAACTTGTTTGCTTATTTGAGTTGATATTATAAATACATAGATGATTATTTGACTCACTGAATGTTTATGTTAAATGATAATTCTCAAGTAATAGCTGGTATATTTCTGAGGCAAGGGATTGCTGTATTTGTCTTAATTAGCTAATTATAGCAGGCAAGAGATCTTTACTGTGGTTTACAGTAAGTGTTGCTACCTTGTGAGAAAGACATTAAGTCATCTTTCTGCTGTGGAGTGAATAGGACCATGACTGCATTAAAATGTTACAGGGTTTCAGTCTTCCCATTTTCAAATAAAATATCCAAAGGCAATAAAATTTTACTTAGAATTATAAAAAATGGGACCAAAATAGACAGCAAGTGAAATCCTTTAACCCAAGGAAAGGAAAGGGAGTGTGGGAAGTGGTATGTTAACATATGCAGAAGTCCTAAGGACTAAGCAGTTGTCTCTATCCCAGAGGAGGCGGGATGTGCACTTAAGTTGTAACAAGAGTCTGACCAGACTCATGTTTAGACTCATGGACATCTGTATCGACACAGTGTTTAGTGCATGGACATCTGTAT